CAGTTCAGCAGTGCAAGACAAATAAATTCTTTAAAAAATCATCCCTGATTTCCTGAATTTTCTTTTATAATTCTGTCTCTCAGAGTGGGAATGCACCTACAATGGGAATTTCAGACACCTCCAATGATTTCTAAGTGGGAGAACTTGGCAAAATCACAGGGTGTTCAAATACTTCTGTTCCTCACTGTGTATATACAGTTGCAAGAAAAAGTATGTGAACCCCTTGGAATTACGTGGAGTTTTGCATGAATTGGGCATAAAATGTGCTTCTGAACGTCATCTAAGTCACAACAATAGAAGAACACAGTCTGCTGAAACATAATACTACACAAACATTAGATGTTGCCATGGTTTAATTGCACATAACAGGTAAACATTCACAGTGCTGGGAGGAAAAAGTATGTGAGTAGCTTAATGACTTTTCCCAGAGCTAATTGGAGCCAGGAGTGAGCCAACCCTTGACTCCAATCAGTGTGATGATATTGGATGTGTTGCTGACAGCTGTCCTGCTCTTAAAAACACACACCTGGTTTGGGTTTACTGGTTTCAAGAAGCACTGTCTGATGTGAACCATGCCTCGCAGAAAAGAGCTCTCAGAAGACCTACGATCAAGAATTGTTGACTTGCATGAAGCTGGAAAGGGTTACAAAAGTATCTCCAAAAGCCTTGATATTCATGTGTCCACGGTAAGACAGACTGTCTACAAATGGAGAAAGTTTAGCACTGTTGCTACTCTCCTAGGTGGGGTCGTCCTGTAAAAATGATTGCAAGAGCACAGCGCAGAATGCTGCTTGAGGTAAAGAAGAATCCCAGAGTGTCAGCTAAAGACCTACAGAAATCTCTGGCACATGCAAAACATTTTTTTTGTTGACACATCTACAATAAGGAAAACATTAACCAAGAATGGAGTACATGGGAGGACACCACGGAGGAATCCATTGCTGTCTAAAAAGAATATTGCAGCACGTTTGAAGTTTGCAAAAGAGCACCTGGATGTTCCTCAGCACTACTGGCAAAATATATGTGGACAGATGAAACCAAGATTGAGTTGTTTGGGAAGAACACACAAACTATGTGTGGAGAAAAAAAGGCACGCACCCAACATCAAAACCTCATCCCCACTGTAAAAAACATGGGCGGAGGGAGCATCATGGTTTGGGGCTGCTTTGCTGCCTTAGGGCCTGGACGGATGTTGTCATTGATGGGAACTGAAGCTGCCGCAGAGGATGGGTGATGAAACAGGACAATGACCCTAAGCATACAAGTAATTCAACAAAACAATGGCTGGCAACAGCACAGAATACGCCTTCTGGAGTGGCCCAGTCAGAGTCCTGACCTCAACCCGATTGAAATGCTGTGGCATGACCTTAAAGAGAGCGATTCACACCAGACATCCCAAGAATATTGCTACACTGAAACAGTTTTGTGAAGAGGAGTGGTGCAAAATTACTCCAGATAGTTGTGCAGGTCTGATCTGCAACTACAGGAAAAGTTTGGTGAGGTTATTGCTGCCAAAGGAGGGTCAACCAGTTATTAAGTCCAAAGGTTCACATACTTTTTCCTGTCTGCACTGTGAATGTTTACATGTTATGTGCAATTAAACCATGGTAACATCTAATGTTTGTGTAGTATTATGTTCAGCAGACTGTGTTCTTCTATTGTTGTGACTTAGATGACGTTCAGAGCACATTTTATGCCCAATTCATGCAAAACTCCACGTAATACCAAGGGGTTCACATACTTTTCTTGCAACTGTATATATATATATTATATATATATATATATATATATATATATATTTATATATATATATTTATTATTATTTTTTTTTTTACATTTCTTTAGTTGCTTCCTGGTTTCTGGCCAAGACCAAAATGATGTCATACATCCCAGGAGTCTTTATGAGAGAAAAGAAGGAGGAACTTTCTCAGCTAAGCACATCCTCTTGCCTGGTTGGCCTATGGATTCCAGCAAAGTAAATGCTACATGAATCATCTGCCATCACTCAAGATGGCCATGGTCAGAAATGCTGTGGGGGGGGGGGGGGTGTTTTTCAAAGTGATTTCTTAATAAAATAAAGCATGGAGACATGGATGGATGGGGAGTTTGCTTTGAATATTAAAAATTAATTTAAATAGTGTTTTCAGGTTGTGGTGCTCAGATACAGTTAAATTCCACTTTAAATATCAAATAACAAGCATTAGATAATTGGCATACTAGGGAACAATAATGCGGCATAGTCGTATAGTTTAATTTCAGTTTCTGCACTCATACTTGTACTGGTAATGGCAATTTAAACTCAGTAATTGTTATTATAATAACACGTAGACACAAAAAAATGTCCATATTTACCATTAACATGTGCCGAACAATAAAATGGACTCATTGTTTTAGCCTGCTTCCTGTCCCTGTCTTTCATAGCTTAGTTGTGTTATGCATGGGCTGTAGGATGGTAATTTCAGCTGCACACGCTTTTGAATTATATAAATACATATAAAATGTGATCTGGAGACTCCACAGATAAGAGTAATGTACCTCCATCCCAAATTCAATATATATATATACGATTATTATCTGGGATTTAAAGTGACATATGGAATATGGAAAAAAAACACATATAGAATTTAGCACACATGCATATAGGTGTATTGATACAAAAAATACATACTTTCATCATAATAAAATCCAGTGAAAATTATTTTAACATGATTTGTATAAATTCAAACAGAATTTACAGTGTTTAAACCATACAAACAGTGCAAAAAAAAAAATATATATTATTGTGTATCACTCCAAAATATAATAATAAAATGACATACATATACATATATATATATATAATTAAAAGTCCCACTCCAAATAGGTGAAAAATTATTAAAAAAATCTCTGAAAGTCCTCTGATGAGCAGCAGCATTTATTTGTTTATTTAATTTGTTTATTTTAATTGTCTAATTTTGGTGCTGGTGATTTATGTTTTAAAACAATTACAGTGTTGTTGTACATACATAACCTCAATAATAGGATATTGGCAGAGATTTTTTTTCTCAGAGAAGAGGTGCAGGAACCCCCCCCCCCCCCTCAGAGTCACCCTGTGTTTTCGCACCCTACCCACCTCCAAGCACCAATCCTTTGTTCCACCCTCCACCCACCTCCCAATACCACCCCTCTTAGAGAATACAGAACCAAGTATCATTTTGTGGTGCTAAGTAATTTTTATGGAATTTGGTAATGATAACAAGAAAAGCAGTCAAATACGTAGATCCCCTGTAGTTAGCAACAATAGACCCCCCAGCAACAATAGACCCCTCTCCCTCATCAACATAGATTCACTCCATCATTAATAGATCCCTCAGCAGCCAGCAACAATAGACCTCCCCAGCAAGAATAGGCCCCCCAGCAACAATGGACCCACGACAATAGACTCCCAACATCCAGCATCAATAGACCCTCCAGCAGCCAGTAACAATAAACCCCTCCTTAAACAGTAGATTCCTCCCACCAATGATTGGCCCCCAGCAACACAAGTCCCACCCCCAGAAAAAATAGATTCCCCAGCATCATCAATAGACCCTTCAACACACTCCAACAGCCCTTGTCATTACATACATTCAGTGTTGGAGATGCCGAAACTGCGTTCCCCCGCCTTCCCGCTAAAAATAAAACTTGGATATAGGTATGTAACAAACTGCATCCGATAAAATGACACATTTCACAAATTTCAATTTTCTTCTCAGGAGTAGGTCCAAAACATATCTATAAAGCAAAATATCAATAAAAGGATTTTCGTACCAGTAATGATGTCACATAGTTGAGCAAATTATTGCCCCAGGCCAACAAATAGCCTCACTACTTACAAATCAGCTTGAATGTGGTTTGGTTTAGAATAAAATTAACAGGGATATCTACCCCGAGACCTGTGGCAGTAATACCCATCCAGATCCTAGGGGCATATGAAAGGCAGGTGTGATGTTTGACTTAAAGTTCCAGGGCAAACTTAGATAAAACCTTTTGCATTACATGTTGTAAGTCAGCTGGAGATGGACTAAACGCCGCTTTCAGATGTGACAAAATCAATTTGCACGTATATGTGCAAAGGTCTCCTTTTTCAAACATAAGAATTTGTCTGGCAAACATAGTACACTACAGACTAGACCAGCCTTTCTCAACTGGGGTGCCTTGAGGTTTCTTCTTCAGGGGTGCCTTGGCAAAATGTCTACAAATTGCCCAAAACTTGTCTACAAGCCAGCTGGTGGAACAAGCCTGCGTTTTAGTTACACAAAGCCATGGGTTTTCATTGTGCACCATTATGGCCTTCTAGCACCCGGTGTCCCGATAGCCAATGCCATCATTAGTTGATAAGGAGGATGTCAGCTGCCTGCACAGCTTCCTAGTTTGACCCTCCCCTGCCCCCTCCATCAGTGCTGGGGTCACATTAGCTCAGTCATGGTGAAAAACTGAGGGAGAAGAGAAAAATTGGAATACTACTCAGTAGATACTATACTAGTCAGTACCAGTGTGTAAAAGTGTATTTGCTTTGGAAGAATAAATCTCCTTTAACCCCTTGCCTACAGGGCACTTTTACCTCCTTCCTGCCCAGGACAATTTCCAGCTCTCAGCGCTGTCACAGTTTGAATGACAATTGCGCGGTCATGCAACGCTGTAACCATATGAAATTTTTATCATTTTTTTGTGACAGATAGAGCTTTATTTCGGTGGTAATTAATCACCTCTGGGTTTTTTATTTTTTTCTTAAATAAACCAAAAACCGCTGACAATTTTGAAAAAAAAAGTTTTTTCTTAGTTTTTGTTGTAAATTTTGTAAATAAGTGATTTTTTCTCCTTCACTGATGTGCGCTAATGAGGCTGCAGTGATTGGCACTGATAGGCTGCACTGATGGACACTGATAGGTGGCACTGATGAGGAGGCACTGGTAGGTGGCACTGATGGGCATTGACAGGCATCACTGATGGGCACTGAAAGGCAGCACTGATAGGCGGCACTGATAGGCGGCACTGACTGGCACTGATAGGCAGCACTGACTGGCACTGTTAGGTGGCACTGACTGGCACTGATAGGAGGCACTGACGGGCACTGCTAGGCGGCACTGATGCACACTGATATGCGGCACTGACTGGCACTGATAGGCGGCACTGACTGGCACTGATAGTTGCCACTGATTGGCATTGATAGGTGGCACTGACTGGCACTGATGGGTGACACTGAAAGGCAGCTCAGATGGGCACTGATATGTGGCATTGATCTGCACTGGTAGGCACTGATATGTGGCATTGATGTGGCACTGGCACGTGGCATTGTTCAGCACTGGCAGCTGGCACTGATGGGCACTGACAGGTGGCACTTCTGGGGCCACACTGATCATCAGGGCACACTGATCATCATTACCCTGATGATCAGTGTACATGTCCCCTCCGCGGAATGCCGATTACAGGCTCTCCTCTCCTCTCGAGCTGTCAGCGTGACAGCTCGAGGAGATAAATGACGATAACTGACATTTCCCTGTTTACATGTGATCAGCTGTGATTGGAAAATGCATTTTTTGCTGCTTTTTGCAAAAACGCACTACAGTCCATTTTATATGGTTTCCTATTGGAACACATTCACATCTATGAATTTTTCAGCCACTACATTCTTGGAAAGGGTCAGGGACTTTTTAAAAAGCAAAACGGTGCATTTTCAATTCAATAAACTTCAATGGAGACGTGGCAGAAAATGCATGTAGTGCGTTTTTGGCACATTTTGCATTTTTATTCTGCCCAGCAACTAAAACATTGCCCCTTTTTTACAGAAACTTCCCAGAATGCCAGAAACTTCCCAGTCTGCACTGGGAACCAGGAAGTCGAGAGAGAGAACAAGATGGCCAAGACTGAGCTGCTTATCAACCTGGTTAGGAGCAGACCCTGTCTGTACAACCGTTGTGAGCCTGATCACAACAACCAGTCTAAACAGAATCAGGGATGGCTGGATATACTGTAGCTCATGAGCAGGGGCGGACTGACCATTTGTAAACTCGGGCACTGCCCAAGGGCCCAGGGTCAGTAGGGGGCCCCATGAGATGCCCCTGGTACCTTTTTCATAGGATTTTTTGAGTTTGGGCAAGGACACAGGGGCCCCAAGATCCCCTATTGCCCGGGGGCCCCATGAGTTGTCAGTCTGCCCCTGCTCATGAGATATAGTGGGATTCTTTCTCAAAGAAACAGAAGGATGAAAAATTTAAGTGCCTGCGCCTTTGCATGTGCAACCTTCTCAAAATGACATGTACACTTTTTTGTCATTTTTTTTACACTGTCAAGTCAGAGTGACCCCCATAAGGAGAGGAACATGCCCCTGAGACCTCTTGCAGAACGCTATGCAATATTGAAATGTCGTTCATTACATTATCTGTAGTATAGTTTGTTAACAGTGAATCTGATGTGTTTGTCAGTGCAGATAAACACGATTAGTATAAAGGATTTAGTACAAATAGGCCCTGATCCATCGTATATGTCAACAAATCTTTTTTTCCTAAAAAAAAAAAACAAAAAAAGAAAAAACGCAGCTCCAAATTGTCCCTTTTTTACTTTATGCAGCTTATCATACTCACAAAATATATATATATTTTACAACAGGATACACACAATTTTTTCATACATTTTTGTCATATAAGCTAAATTCTTATATTTCTTGACACAATATGCACATAACCTCTGCACTAACATAATGTATCTGTATGGTGTTTCTTTATGATTATTCTGCTTCATGCAATGGCATCAAGATGCCAAGGCAGCTAACCTTCAGGAGACATAAGATGGGTTGTGAAAACATCTCAGTTAGTGGTATCATTCCTGCTGCCCCAGGTCAATTCAGCTCTGGAAGTTATTGTGGCCAAGTGTGTCCTCAAACTGGAACTCGTCACGTTCTCTAATAAAGTTGTGCAGAACACATGCTACTGTCATGGTCTTGATAGCATGTTGCATTTTTAAATGGATTGGAGTGTGCAACACACACCATTTGTTTGCAAGTATGCCAAATGCACATACCACCACTCTCCTGGCCTTGGTGAGGGGATAATTGAACACCCTTCTGTCTGTGCCCAAAAAGAGGCTGGAATAGGGCCTTAGAAGGTGTTGACTGAGAGCAAATGCTTCATCCCCCACAAAAAATTCTCAAAATTGCTGCAGTCCAAATTGCTGCAGTAGCAGCCTAAAACAGTAACTTGCATCTGCCACGGCAAACTATACAAAATACATTTTTTTTATAATTATAGAAACTGCTGCCACTGGCTTCTGGCTTAAGTATGTGCATAGGTTTGCCATCAAATGCGACCACGCAATTAGGAAAATTAAAGCGCTGCCAGAACATATCCGCTATGTTGGACCATTCTTCCACTGTTGGTTTCTGGAAGGCCACATCTTTTCAGCACTTCCCAAACTACTGAACAGGTGTCCCAGACAATATAACTTGCTGTAGATTTGCCCACCATAAACTCAAAATGCAGACTTGACAGAGAATGTCCAGTTGCAAGGTATCTGAAAATATTTAAAAAAATATGTTTTTTTTTTTTTTCAGTGAAAGCTCTGCAAACAAAATGGCATAGCGCCAAAGATAGCTACAACAGCATGTTGACGAAGGAAAAGTGTGTGCAAAGTGGGTCTGCGGCACAGTCATATACACCATACACTTATGCAAAAGATCTGGAATTCTTGCAACCAATTCTGCAATTGAGAAGGTAAGCGATGATCAAAAGGACATGTGTAATCTGTGTATATCTTTACTTACTGGAATTATCACAACATATATTTTTCATTTTGCATTTACTTCACTGAGAGCTGCTGGGATTCAGAAGAAGAGGAGAATGATAAAGACCTTCGAAAGGATCTTCAAGAGAGAGAGAGAGAGGACACCCCAACTACTGGTTCTCCAATTTGCATGATAACGGAGGAACAAATGCAGTGGGAACAGGAACAGAGGGGAGCTGTTGCTGCTCTTCCACGTATGCCAATATATAGGAGGGGAAGTGGACCAAAAAAGTTGACATCTAAGCATAGTGATTAATTGTTTGCCCTATTAAATGAGATGACAGTAATATTTAAAATAGAAATGTCACTGTCACAATAATTGGCAAACACTCTAGTGCCATACATGGATGTAGTTACATGGCACAGACAGGGGGCACAGTCACAGATATGGCATTTTTCCTGTGTGAGTGCTTTTTCTTCAGTAGTCCCAGCAGTGGCTGAACACAGCAATTTAACTAAAGCAGAAAGAAGCCACAACAAAGAACTCTACTCCACTCTGGATGGACTGGAAGCAAATCACCTTGGAAAGCATCTCTTACAAGTACATCTACCCTGAAAATGTTCCCTCTACTCGTCCTTCTCATATTGGTATCCTCTGTTCTCAAAATCCCATTTCTTTACCCCCCTCTTCTCCACCCCAAAGCTTATACATGTCACCCTCACTTCTACCATCTACCATCAATCAACATTGTCTTCCCCAAGAGACAACCCTCATGAGTTCTTATGGCCCATATCAACATTGATCAATGGAGTAGTGATGTCTACTTCAGTGATTTCTAGCTTCCAGGGGTATGGGCCAGGTATGGTATATACTGTACATAGTTACATTTGTTCAAGCTGGACCAATGTAACTCCATAAAAAATATTTATACTTGGAATTCTTCTTTAACCATTTGCCACCCGCCCTATGGCCGAATGGCGGCCGGCAAATGTCATCAGCGTTCCGGGTGGACGTGATATGGCATCCTCCTGCACATGGGCAGATTGCGCTCCTGCAGAGCCGTGCAGCGGCGCGATCTGTCACCCGGCCGTGTACCTTGGACACGGCCGATGACAGATCTGAGTACCGGCCCCCGTCGTCGGTACCATGTGACCTGCTGTGACCAATCACAGCAGGTCACATGACAGTTGTATACAATGGATGGCTTCATTCATTCATGTATACTAGTGTCTAGCTGTGAATGGTCACAAAAAAAAAAAAAAACCCTGAATGAATCGATGTCATTCAGGTAAATGCTTGCTTATAGCAAAGTAATTCTTTGCTATAAGCAAATTGTGTAAAAAAAAAACAAAAAACTGATCACTTCCCTAAAGTAGTACAATGTTACTATGGTAACATTGTACTACTTTGGTCATAGTGAAATATGAAAAAAATCTTAAAAAAAATAAAAAAATGTAATAAAAAATAATAAAAAAAATAGATTTTTTTTTTTTCATACTGTCACCAGTCAGTGTCCCTGATCACCACCATGCCAGTTATATGATGATGCTGTACTGCACTGGTGACAAATTTTTTTAAAAAAATAGTGAAACAAATTTTTTTACATTTTTTCATTTTCTGAAAAATTATGACAAAAAAAATACAACTTCAAAAAACTCGCCATGCCTCTTATGAAGTATGTCGGACTGTCTACTCTGCAAAAAGGGGTCATTTGGGAGATATCTGTACTGTTCTGACATTCTTGGACCTCAAGAAATTAGATTGGCTGTCAGTACTTCAGGATTGATCAATATTCAGATCTATCCCATAGTTTGCGAACTCTATAACTTTCCTACAAACTAAATAATACATCCTAATTTGGGTTATTTTCACCAAAGACATGTAGCAGAATACATCTCGGCCTAAATTTATGAAGAACAATTATTTATTTGCAAACTTTTATAACAGAAACAAAGAAAAACGTGTTTTCAAAATTTTTGGTATTTTTTTGTTAATTTAGCAAAAAATGAAAACCTCAGCGGTGATTAAATACCACCAAAAGAAAGCTCTAGTTGTGTGAAGAAAATGATAAAATTTTAGTTTGGGTAAAATGTTGTATGACCGCGCAATTGTCATTCAAATTGGGAGAGCGCTGAAACCTGAAAAATGGCCTGGGCAGGAAGGTGTAAAAGTGCCCGGTATTGATTTGGTTAAACTTTACATTTTGGGTGTGCTATGACAGCATAGAAGCAATAGACAGACGTGGTGAAACATAACTTTGAGTCCCTCACCTTCAGGTTGTAAGTGGTATATGTTTTTTTTCCTAGATATTTCTATATTTTTGAATAAAAAGAAATGTTAAACTCTTTATTTTTTCTTTCTGAATGACATATATTCAGAAATGAAATGCATTCTCAAGGTGAAATGGATAAAATGTATGGTATGAATCCTTGAACATAGACTCAGGAGGGGAAATGCGCTAACAGAAGGATATATCCACGTCTTTAGCCTACTACATTTGAATGGTAAATGTAGGGTGTATTACAGCTCACAGCACAGTGCACCTGATCTGTGACGAAGAACACAATTATCATAGTTTTACTGAATAATTTGAAGCCAGAAGTTGAGGTCTTTAATTTTTG